TCACAAGAGCCTGTTCGAGCTGTTGTTTGGTCGGCGACCTAATTATTCTCGATTGTGAATCTTTGGTTGCTTATGCTTTCCAATGTTACGCCATTGGTCGACCAACAAACTTGAACCAACTTCTCGGGTTTGTATCTTCCTTGGTTATTTAACATCTCAGAGTGCGTACATGTGCATGGAGATTTCTACAAGGAAACTACTCATGTCTCGCCATGTTCAATCTATGGAGTCATGTTTCCCTACTCTAAGTGACAACTCTCTACCTTCAGGTTCTCCTACATCTACGGAACCATCCAGACTGCTATTTGCCCCACAACCATCGGTCCCGTCCCCTATTCCTGCTTCCACCACACCACCTTCCTCCCAAAATCCTTCATCAGTACCGTTGTCTGAAGCTGCTCCAGTATCAGCACCCATTCAACCCGTTCGCACACATAGAATGGCCACTAGAAGTCAACATGGAATATTTAAACCCAAACAGGTTCACTCTGTTTCTCGACATCCTTTACCTTGGGCATAGAACTAGCTACTGTTTCACAGCCACTCTCTTTTTCCAGGTTGCGCCGTGCGATGTCTGATGAATTTACGGCTCCCTTAAAACATGGAACTTGGGAATTGGTTTCACCTCCCTCTCATGCAAATATCATTGGCTGCATATGGGTGTTCCGCATGCATAAAACGCAAACATGATGGCTCTGTGGAACGGTTCAAAGCTCGTCTTGTTGCTAAGGGTTTCCATCAACGCCCCGACATCGATTATGACGAAACATTTAGTCCTGTCATTAAGCCGATCACCATTCGCTCAGTCTTACCTCTTGCCCTCATGCATCATTGGCCAATTCGTCAGTTGGACATCAGCAATGCATTTCTTCATGGCACTCTACCTCGTCCTGTTTACATGAAGCAACCTCCTGGCTTTGTGGATCCTCAACAGCCTAATTCTGTTTGTCGCCTGATAAAATCCTTATACGGCTTCAAGCAAGCTCTTCGTGAATGGTATTTATCTCTGACTTCTGCTCTTTTGGATTTTGGATTTGTTCAGTCCAAGGTTGATACCTCCTTATTTGTGCTACATTCTGGTTCAACTCATGCCTTTGTTTTAGTATATGTCGATGATCTCATTTTGACTGACACATCCGATGAGTTGTTGGTGAGAATTATCTCGCATCTTCAGACCCGATTTCATGACAAGGACCTTGGGCCCCTCCCCTATTTTTTGGGCATTGAGGTTTCTACTTGCAATGATGGGTTTCTATTATTTCAACACAAGTACACACTTGATTTGCTTCGCCGTCATTATATGGAGGATGCAAAACCTCTTATGACTCCAGTTATTGCCAAAACTTCCTCTTTTGTCTCGACATAATCCTTTGATGCGACTGAATACCGCATGGCCTTGGGAGGCCTCCAGTATCTCACTTTAACTCGGCCCGACATTGCCTTCACCTTTAATAGACTTGCTCAGTCGATGGCCGCACCATGCATGGCTGACTGGCTTGCAGTTAAACGGCTGTTTCGCTATCTCAAAGGCACATTACAATTTGGCCTTCTGTTTCGCTAAACTTCTCTCTCTCTCTCACTGCATTCTCTGATAGTGATTATGGAGGAAATCTCACTGATGGCAAGTCTACATCAGCCTACTTGGTTTTCCTTGGCCCGAATCCCATTTCTTGGCGTTCCCGAAAACAGAATGGTGTGGCTAGATCGTCTACTGAGGCAGAATACCACTTCGTATGCTGGATAATTCATTTGTTTTGAGACCTTGGTATTCAACTGCCCACAGTTCCACGGATTTATTTTGATAATATTAGAGCAACCAGACTTGCCTTGCATCCGGTCTTGCACTCACGGCTAAAACACATAACTATTGATATCCATTTTGTTCATGATCTCACATCCAAAGGCCTTCTTCAGGTTGCTCACATCTCGACCACTAACCAACTTGATGATATTCTTACGAAGCCCCTGCATAGGACGCATTTTGAGTTACTTCGCTCCAAAATGTCTGTGGCCGACGACACTCCCATTTTGCGAGGGCGTACTAAGGCACCAAGTTAGGAAAGAATACATTTTAATATTATTGTGATATTGTTGTACTCTAGAATATTCTTCTCAAGTGTATATACAGGTCTTGTATGTATGTCATTCAATGAGATCAGCATTTTCCCTAATTTAAAATCTTCTATAGTAATTGGGAGAGCTTTAGTGAATATGTATATAATGTTGTCACTTGAATGAATTTGTTGATAAATAATACCCACATATACTCCATATTTCTTAATGTCGCGTGTATGTCAAATTTTCGGGGAAATATGTTTCATTCTATGTCATTTGATAAATTCTTCTTTGAGTTGGTGGATACAAAATGTGTTATATTCAAATAAGATGATTGGAGCCTCCTGATCAAACCATAATTCACACGACCGTCTAATATATCAAATTACACTTCTTAGGTATACACATTCTTAGCCGGCTTCATGAATGACTAAGAGTTCCCGTGATTAGGCGACGTTGTTGTAATTGTTTGTTTCATGGAACGCCATGAAAGTGCATTTTCTCCACGCGTAGACATGTATCTAGTTTGCGATCGTCCTTTGTGAGGATCGGGCAAATATCGTGCGTCCGCGTTACAAACTACTCAAGCCTGTTTTGAACGTGGCTCACGTTAGAGAACTCCCTCCCTCCCATAAAAATCTTTCCACTTTCCTTTTGGGAACGTCCCAAAGAATTATTCACACTTACCTTTTTTGAAAGTTTTGTGTGATTAACATTCATTTACCTTTTTCTTACTCAACCACAACTACACCTTTTCACTTTATACTCGCATTCTTAAACTCTGATCCAAGTTAAATTGAGAATAATTTTAAGGGATAGAGGGAGTAATAGAATCGTGTATTTTGTACCCTGAAGCATTTTAGAATTTGTTTGACCCTATTCCAATGTTTTCGCGTTGGAGAATAATTGTACTGATATTGCCAATAAATTTTGAGCAAGATACATCAGTGCTCTAATTGCACTTAGGTATGATACTTCTGGGCCAAGAATGTCCTCATTATCTCCACGCAGTTTAAAAGGGCCCTTATCAACTTCAAGTTATCCTACAATCATTGGGGTGCTCAAAATATGCGTCTTATCCGTTTGAAAATTTTAGAACCTTCTCTATATTGAACTTCGAACCAGATCTCTTAATAAAAATGCATAAGCATATATCATTATTCGTATATCGTCTTTCAATAAATATTCACTCAAGCGATTTTTTTACATACGTCATGATTGTTTTCAATTATGGGTGGACATATTGGTTTGGTTTAACCAAACCTAATCGTATCAAACCAAACAAAAGTCGGACCACATTCAATTTGGTTTTAGTTTGGTAGTATTTCTTCCAAATCGTATTAAATTGAACCGAATCTAAACCGATGAAAACCGGACAAGATCGAATCGAACTAAAGAAATTGAATAAAACCTTCACATATTATTAAAAAATAACAAATCCAAATCAAACCAAATATAACTAAACTGAACCCAAAAATAGTATGTTTTTTGCTCGATAATAACCCCCAACCCATTCCAAACCGAACCGAAATCAAATTTAATAAAAACCGAACCGAAAAATGATATGACCACCCATATTTTCAACCATATATAGAGATCTGTTGATTTTAATAAAACATTGTTCTCAAGAACCATTGTTGCATGCTTCTGGAATCATAAAACCTCCCAGAAGTCTCATATATGTTGGGTTGAGTATAATCCGATCCAGGTCGAAGAAAAATGGATCGAATCGGACAAGTCGGTCCAGACCGACCCTAGACTGGTGATACGAATTTTCTCGCACTTAAAAAGATGTCAAAAGTATAGGGTATAAGTATGAGTATCGTCTCCATAGGGATGAAAAAAGAAATTAAGTGCTAATTAATTCCAACGATATAAATAAATAAATAAATTAAATGCATGGTTTGTATTTAAATTGCAACGAAAATAAAACTAAATCAATTGACTCTTCTGAGTCAATGACAGAAAGGGAACATGAATTGATACCGAGAACAACCAGATTTCACGACTGATCAAGCTTAATAACATGAAAATTATTTAAAACACTAATCAATACTATTTTCTTACCGTTCTCGCAGTGCAGAGTAAAAAAAATTAGAGAGCCAGACTGGACTCTCGGGCGACAGGTTTCTAAAGTCGTTGCCAAAACGAGAGAACGTACGACTCCATAACCGTGCTAATCTCTTAGGGATGGTAAAAGTGTGAATGAAGTGTTATAGAACAATTTAGATATCTCTTAAATTATTTTATGTAGAGTTATCATTATAGTGGTCATTGCAGATTATAAAGATAACGATTAAATCATTCATGCAAAAATTAAATAATAATAAAAATATGATAAATTAAAGTTTGAGTAGAATAAAGTAAAATGATACGAACCACGTATGTTTTTAAAGAAACTGACATATTTATCTTTGGACCACACGAAAAGCCGAAAAGGAAAGTAAAATGAATTGAGATGATACTCCCTCTGTCCCTATATTATCTCTTCCTTTGACATTTTACACAAATTAAGATAGTAAGATTTGTGCGGTGGAGAGTTGTGCAGAAGAGAGAGAAATGTGTAAGAATGTGTTAAAATGGTCGCGAAACACAAATTCTTTGCTAAAAAGGGAAAATGAGATAATTTTGAGACGGATGAAAAAGAAAATTTTGAAGATAATTGAAGAACAGTATTTGACTTTGCACCCCATGTTTTAGGTGATATTTGACTTTGCACCCTATTTTTAAAATAATTAATGTATGCACCCATCAATCCAAAAACTGTGAAGGAATGGGGTGCAAAGTCAAATGGTTTTATAGGGGATTGGGGTGCATATATTAATCATTTTGAAAATAGGGTGCAAACTCAAATATCACCTAAAACATGGGGTGCAAAGTCAAATTCTCCTTTTTTTTTAATATGGGCCTATAGAAAATGACGCCGCAGACCAACTCCCCTCCAACACGGCTCTGCTGACCTGAAGCCCAACTTCAAATCTTTTCTTTGTACAAAAATCACACGATATCTGGTTTGCTTCTCTTCAACAATTCACAGTTCTTCCATATCTCCCGCCTGGCCTGCTTCAACTTCCAATCTTACAACAGATTCTCCAAGAGAAGAATAAGTGCTGTTCCAATTACTATCCAATAGTATGACACAAGATGTTGAAGCAATTCAGGAAAATTCAAATCAAAATAACAACCATAATCCCAGAATTACCTGGGAAGGTTGCAGTGTCTTGCTTGATATCAACGACGGAGACCGCTTGGTTTTTGCTCGTCTCACTCCTGCCTCGTAAGTTCTTCATAACTAACACATTGATGTGAATTGAGTTTTTCTTTGTAAACGATTACGGAGTATGTTTTGTGTTTTCAACATATGTCACTTGTATAGTTGCTTGTTGTGTTCGTTTTTTGCTTGTGATGTTGTATTAAAGTTTCAAATTGAATCCACTTTGCAGGAATGTGAAGATAGGGGATAAGAGTTACTCCCTTCAGCCGTTGGTAGGCTGTCCATACGGGTCTCTGTTTCAAGTGGAGAGTGGGGCAGGACGCCCAATCTTGTCTCGGGTTGTTTCTCATACCATAGAAGGTATCTAACTATCGATTGTGTTATTATTGTTACAAATTTTAGAAGCTGAATGATTTGCTGGTTGTAGTTAATTTAGTAGGATGTTCCGCATATTTCTTTCACATTAAGGTTGATTCTTGTTGTACAAGATAGGATTAATGATAGTGTGCACAAGTGTTTCTGTAAAAATTTAGCAAGTCATAGTATTTTATGTTCCGAATTTCCAACCATAAGTCTATTTTTATAACACACATGACACACCCTTCCTATGATCTTGCCATCTCAGAGCACAATGAGTGGGCATAACTAACTTTTACTGAGGCATGGATAGAATTCCATAACTATGAAGTAAAATATTCTAATCCCTAGTTTACATTCCAATTTACATCCTCATAAATGAGAGGCAATTCTAAATATACCAAGCTTCTTTTTATAATAGTGTTTAATTAAATGTTTGTCTTCCTCATGGTAGCCAAAATCGCGATCCTGGTCGTAGGATCGTATGCTTATACGAACCCTACTAGTCTACTACCTCTTGCAATCCCATTTTTAACTGAAAATGGTAAAATGGTTAGGATCGTCTGGATTGCTGCGTGGAATCGCAAAATTGTTGAAGCACTACTGAATTGCGATTCATTAGCTATAGTTGTTGGGAATTTGAAAAAAATCCGAATTTAGGAATCGTCGACCTCTATCTTCTGTGTCGATCTGCAGGACTGCATTGTGTCGACCTCCTCGTCATCAATCTGCAGGGCTGCATCACGTTGACCTCCTGCATCGATCGACCTCCTTCTGCATTGTTGACCCGCAGGGCTGCATCTCTAAGACCTGCAGGGCGGCATCTCATCGACCTCCAGGTCTTCAGCCTCATCTTCTGCGTCGCCAGTAATTACGTTATTTTAGTTACCCCACATCCCGATCTTTTATTAAATAATACAATGCTTTAGTTTTTTTTTATTACAGAGTATGTTATTACCACAATTTACGAGTTCACTATTTTACTTTATTAATATAGAGCTCGATGTTATACCCCTATTTATGTCTTACATACCTAAATTAGTTTATGACTTAAGTATTTTACTATATTAATTAATATAGGACTCTCCATGTTCTACCTATTTAAGTCTTACGTAACTAAATTGCTATGTAATATCATAATATGTTCTAACATTCAATGTCTAATTTAAACTATATGTATGTGTGTTTATATACACACACACATGTGTGTGTGTATGTGGTAGGCCCCTTCTGATCCTACTTAGGATTTTTTTACTACCGTGGTTTTCCTAAACACTGCATTTGCCTAACTAACTAAAATTATATGTTCCTGGACATAAGATAAACCTATTAACTTAAACTCTATATTCCTAAACAATAAACATTAATACATGATAGAGATTAATATGGAGTATATATTTCACAAGTGACATGACACAATTAAGTGCCACGTTCCATATATATTGATGGTGATTTGGTAATCCTAACGGAATAAAATTTGTTTTTTCTAATGAAATGAAATTCAGTCATCATCATCATCATCATCATCATCATCATCATCATCATTACCCCAGTGCCACAAAGGATAGGGGGGTCGGATGTACGCAGTCTGACCCGTGTACTAAAGTACAAAGAGACTGTTTCCGGGTGACCCATAGTGAAAAATGCTTCGAAAATTGCATGGACTGATTGCTGCTTCATAACAAAGAAGCGTAGACAGTTTAGTGAGCCTTTTTTGCTTTATTCCATCATATTCCTAAGCCAAAAAATAGTGAGTCTTTTGCTCCATTGCAGATAATGGAAATTGAAATGAAATTCAGTATGGAAATAAATGTTGATTCTCCTAACGGATTAAAATCTATACGGTATAAGAACTGTAATATGTAATACACTAATTTTCCCAATGAAACAAAATATCTATGTGATACTATGATGAAAAATTATAAATGTAATATGGTATTTAGGATTACAAAACTAATTAATGACATGACACTCTTTGATGATGCGCTCTATGCTCCCAAAATGTTCAGCATTGACCAAAAAGTCAAGCATGGCAAGCCTCTGTGAGGTGGAGAGAGTATGGATTTATTTTCTCAAAAATTAATTACACTGTATATTGATCACTTCCATTATGATTATTCTTAGTTTTTATCCAAGAAAGCAATAACAGATGAGTATTCATAACCATATGAAGTATGAACATGGTATTTTTCTTGCTATTTTAAAAATCTGGAGATGTTTTAAGTGATCTTTTAAGCTTTTATACTTCTCCTCTTCATGAAATTATTACTAACGGGCTTGGTTTGTAACATGTCCAACAAACACCAGATTTTAGCTCTTTGTTCTTGCATGTCTTTCTTCTTCATACCCCCAGTATCCGAGGGGTGAAAATAAATAATACTACCTCCGTCCCTTTTATATTGGGACGGAAGAGGGTGGCACAATTATTAAGAAAAGTGGGTTTGTGTGATTGATATTAGTTGATAAAGTAAGAATAAAGTAAGAATGATTTAGAGCCACACAAACTTTACCAAATATGGTACGGGACAATTTTAGTGGGACTTCCCGAAAAGGTAAAACGAGACAATATAAGGGGGACAGAGGGAGTAATAAAAACCCAAAGATAGGGAAAAGCCGGTTTTTTACTCTTTAAGTGAGACTGGTTCTTTCTTTTTTCCCAATCAAAAACATATGGTTCTCTAATTTCTTTGTTGCAACTTCTGGTAAACTGGTTTGCATCTTTTCATGGTCAGGGAAAAATAATCTTGAAGCAGAAAGTGGTGGCTTACAGACTACTATAGACAGCTCAAAGGATAACCGAGAACTAGTTGATAATAACACAGCTCAAAGTCTCACCGGTGAAGATATACATGAAATGCGAAGGTTTAAATTTAATGTTATTGTCACATGTAGCTCGAATCAAGACTTGGAAAATCGTGTTAATCTGCATTTTTGCGTGTAATATACTAATATAGTTCCTGCACCAAGGATGTGATTCATTAGTACAGAACTACAGATAATCTAATCCCATAGGCACACTAAGCAGCTCTAATGGTTTATTGTATTTCATGTAATCTGTATAATTTCTTTGTTATGTACTTATGTACCAGGATTTGACAGTACTTTTCTGATCAGACACTGTCAATTTGTTGTTCCTTGTGTGGATCAATATTTCCAGTGTTTACTTGAACTCAAAATGTTTTTTTTTGTTTTCGTGAAAATTCAATAACATAAGATTCCAACCTGCTAAACTTATACCACTCCATCTGTAAAAGAGAGTCCTGTTTCAAACATTTTATTTGTCTAAAAGAAGAGTCATTTTGATGAAACGATGACAATTTTTTTATTTAATTTGTCAAATATTGCCAACCTTCATAAACAAGCTACATATGATAAGTTCAATTTGTGATTTATGGCAGTGTTACCTTATAAAGATAAAAAGCTTGTACTCTGGTCAAATATACTCTGGGTAATTCTTTTTTGGGGCTGGAGGTAATACTTTTTTGTTTCTTTCCTTATGTTGACATAATTGGAGCTAATAAATACTCTGATGCAGACAGGGTGCCACAGGGGACGAAATAGTCAAAGCGCTCATTGCGAACAGCACAACTTTTGAGAAGAAGACTCAGTTTTCACAAGTGGGCTTTGTACTTCATGCTTTGATCTTAGATGGAGTGTACGAGAGTGACATGACATTAATTATTTTCTTTAACCCACACTTTCAGGAAAAATATAAGCTTAAGAAACAGAAGAAGTATGCACCCAAAGTACTACTTAGACGTCCCAACGCAAGGAGGTTGAATAATTTACATGACTATTATGGGATATTTATAGTTCATTTTTTCAAATTTTCCTGAAAGTATTCAGTAGAATGGTCTTGAGGATTTTATATAGTTTTAATATACTTTTTTTATAACTAGTCCTGACCTGTTGTTTTTTTCAGCATTTGCGAGGCGTACTTCAAGAAGCACCCTGACAGAATTGGGTAAACAATTTATTGCTCATTAATGTTCAGCACTATTTTCCCTTCTTTTTTTGTTAATCTACATGTCTTTCTTAATTTAAATACGATAAGTTCGTACTATGCCATGTTTGGGATTTAAAATGAACAATTCCTTTCATATCACATATTCACATTTATAACGCTGCATTCTTAGTTAGGTAGGAGCGTTCTATTGGTTCATAATGCACACGAGTCAAAGTGTCAAACCACACCAAAAGATCTAAATCCAATCGATTGGCTAGTCTAAGAAATACCTTGTAAACTCATGTCTCTAAGAAATACCTTGTAAACTCATGTCTCTAAGAAATACCTTGTTAACTCATGTCTCTAATATGTGGACTCTAAGTTTCTGGTTCTTCCATTTAAAAAAATAGCAATCCTCTTTGCTTTTCAGGTGTTTGCGAGTGGACACTTTATCTCTTCTGCTCTCTATGGCAAATGTGACTGCACATGCTGATGTACTTGTAGTGGACAAGGTTGGTGGTATAATCACTGGTGCTGTTGCTGAGCGTTTGGGAGGTATGTTATCTTTTCCCCCAATTTAGTGTTGTAAAAGATGAACATATAGAGTGTATTTTTTGTCAATTGGAAAATTATATTGTGTCACATTCAATCAACACTATATGCTGTTGGGGTCTGTATTCCTGATGTCTATTAATAATTCTATCATTCACATACCAAATTTTTAAACATTCTTTTAATACTTAAGAAAATAGCATATTTTGTTATGCATCTTGTGACTGTTAGCGAAATGGTTCTGTAGCTAGGACCATTCCCATATTTGATCCGTAATTCTTTAGTTTTGCTTATGCTGCGGACTTCTGGTAAAAAATGTTAAGACAACCTTGAATTTCATCACTTTTTCCCTTTAATTTGATCCTTTCAAGTGAAATTGTTCTTACTTCTAGATATTTAAACTCATAAGTAGGTAATACTTATACTTGCAGTATTTTATTCAACAGTAAAAAACAAAAACCAACTAATAACTGGTTCAATGGAATCATCAATTGCGGAACACCTGATTCAAACATGACAGATTCGGGTGTCACTTTGATTTTTTTGACCCAAAAGGCTTCAAAATATTGGAATGGCCCTAGCTATGCAGCAATTTTCGGTACCAACTAAAATATATGGCAAATATGCAACTTGTCCTAAATAATTTTTTTAGTTGCTAATACTATTCCTTGTAATAGGTACTGGTTATGTCTGCAACACTTATCGTGGAGGTGTCCCATATCCTATTGACATCACAAGGATCTTTAATTTTAGTGATGAAATTTGCAAAAGGTATATCTCCCTTGAGTCCCTTCTGTGAAAAACATATCTCTTTGGAACCATAGGATAAATACTTATTTTCACTTTTTGCGTATGTAAGTTTTGTCAATGTTATTATCCTAAGACTAAGAAACAAATCTTCTCATATGTTTGCCTCTAGAATTCTGCATGCATCATTGGATGATCTGTTGACATTTCAAACCGAAGCTTCAGCATCAGAGGAGCAGGCCAATGTCTCTTCAGAACACGGGAATATGGAAATTACACCTGAGGTGGCGGTTTCTCCAGCAAGAAAGCATTGTAGTAAAGCTCCAAAAGCTGGTGGGAAGGCACCACATGAAGTAGTTCACTCCTGGAAAGAAAATGGCTTTTCGAGGTTGAATAAACAGTCTGGTTATCTTTCTACTTTTACTTATATGTTTATGTACTATTGTGTGTGTATACTTGTTTATTTATGAATTTATTGTTTGGCAAACCCATAATTGTGTGATGTTTTTGTAGCTTAATCATTGCAGCACCGGACATGGACCCTTGGAGCCTTATTAAAGATCTTCTTCCGCTTTTGTCATTTTCTGCTCCATTTGTAGTCTACCATCAGTATGCTCAGGTAGGTTTTTGCTGTCTCCGATACCATCTATTTTTTTAGGATTAATTCTATATCATTTTATATGTATGAAAAACCTTACATATATAGCACAACTGCACAAGATTGAAATATATGGCGAGTTTTTCCCACTACTATGACCACTTTTGATACCTGTCTTAATTTCCCTACTGCACAAGAGGCACTTGTATCCATCTGACAATTACACTCTAGGGCATAAAACCATTTTGAGGTACAATTAATAGTTGGACGACCAAAAGTGCCTGCACCAAAAGTATCAACGTACAATAGTTAGAGCATTTTTTTAGTACATCGGAAAATACAATAGTTAGAGCATGGTTGCACTAAAAGAAGCTATTCAAATATAGGTACCCGAAGTGTCTAAGTTGCTATAGATAGAGAACTAAAAGTGAATATATTCAAAAAAGGAGTGTCCATACGAGTCAAAGGTCTATAAGTAGGTAAACTCAACATATGACAGACTAGCATTAGGGCTTCAAATAACTGATTATATAAATGGTCATTTAAATCTTCTATTTTACCCAACAAAACATACATTTCATCTTGATCGAGTTGGTCATTCCAAATTCGCATCAAAGCTTCTAGAAATTTTAGGCTCTGTTTGATTGTAGTAAAATAATTGTAAATATTTTTCCCGGAAATGGTCTGGTAAATAAGTATTTTCTATGTATACTATAATGTTCAACCAACAAAACACTACATTTCAACTTCAGAACCCAAAATATGGTAGGGTAAAGAAACGAAATGCCATGGAATGTGGATTTTAAAGATAGCTACTGCCTTAGAATTTAGGAAAGAAAATCACATGTTATTATAACGTTTTTAAGATTTCACATCTATAATAAAATAAGTTCGAATAAATATTTAAAATATAATGTATTGACCTTGAACCAATGTTTTCATCCAAATTTTCTTTCTATCCATTTTCCTTTCTTTTCCGTAGCATATTTCGGGTTCCAAACAGATCCTTAATAGAGTTTTAAACCGGGAAAATCCTTTCAACAAACAGAGCCCTTCAACAAATCTTCTTCGTTAGTCTGATTCTGCAAAACTTTGTACATTTGATCTTTTATTTTGTCCTATACCCTCTATTGGGGGTGTCCGCACAATATTTAGCTTATGGTGAATATGTATATGTACACACACTGATTTGCAGCCACTAGCCACCTGCATGCACAACCTGCAAACAGAGAAATTGGCAATTGGCTTACAATTGTCTGAACCTTGGCTTCGTGAATATCAGGTATATATAGGACTCACACACACATTCTCTATTTGTCATCATCACTTCAAATCAACGCCAGGAAACATGAGATTATATGAGAACCTTATTTTCATGATGTGTGGCAACCCATGCAGGTCCTACCATCAAGAACCCACCCACATATGCAGATGAGTGCGTTTGGCGGGTATATATTGAGCGGTACTCGGATATGTACAACAAGTGACCTCAAGATGCAGCCAGCTTAGCTGATTTGTTTATTTATTCATTCATTTTATTTTTCTTTCCTTTTCCCATTGATGCATTGGATTGCCATTATTTTTTTCCAATTATATCTGGTTTTAATAATTTGTTGTAACTTGTACTATATTTTTATTTTTATTTCCTTTTCCCATTGTTGTGTTATATCTTTGAGTAGTAAATTGATGTAACTTTAATAAAGGTTATCCCGGCTGTCCAGTTTAATTTTGTAGGCAGTCTTCATACTGTTTACTTTCTCTGCTCATTTGAGTATTTGTATTACTTGTATTATTTTTCCAGTTTATGCAAAGTTTTTTTATTTATTTAAATTCAGCTGGGTCTCAATTTTCATGTGATACACTGATACCGCTTCCATTTTGGTAACTGCGGTCTGCGGACCCTCGATAATCGGTAGTGTAAATATTTCTGTTTATCTCACATATCATAACAATTACTGAGCTTGCTTTGGATTTTGGAATAGCTTAATAAAATCATTAGATATTGTCATTAGTTGGATGTATGACATGTATGACTGTATCACTGATTCACTGTATGAATAAATTGATAATGTATTGATTAGGCAAGTTTGATGAATTGTGATCGTAATAAAGTTCATTTTGTTTGGGTGGAGAATTGAATCGATTTTTAAAGAATACTTGACAAGTTGACACTTGACAGCAAAATTAACTTTTTTTATGAGAAAGGTTTTACGTTTGAATACCGTATACAAATTTACAACAAACTTTAGGGTTGGTTTGCAACTGCTTTTAAAAAAACATTTCTCAGTTTTTGACTTTAAAAAATCACTTATTTTTTCAAACACTACAACTTTTATTTTTCTTGGCTTCCGCGTCAAAAGTGCTTTTACTTCTTCTATTACACAAAAAACACTTATTTTACCAAACACTACCCACTTTTACTTTTCAAAATCACTTTTTTCTCAAACACTATCAACTTTTATTTAATCACTTCTCTCCATTTCATTAAAAAAAATACTTTTTTAAAAGTAGGTGTTGCAAACAGACCCTAAGTTATAACCATCAAATGCACACGAGTTTACCAAAACTCCAAAAGCATGGAACATGCTTTTACCTTTAAGCCGGATCTGTCATCCTTGATGGACAATTGGACATGAACCAATTTGGGGAAAAGAAAAAAGAACGGAAATTTATTAATCACATATTCACATGCCTTGTTCAAGCATGACTCATCATTTGAACTTTGAAGCCTCACTGAATCTGCCCTCTTTGACAGTTTGACCAGCCACCGAAGGCGCCGATCCCATTTCTCAATGGCAGCCCCCCTTGCACAGTTGAGCAGCTTGAGCTAGGGTGGATAAGGCCCGGAGAACAAATCAGATCAAGACCGCCCAATTTTTTAACCGAAATTGAGATCGGAGAATAAGGTTACAGGCCGGAATCGAGATTGGACTGGCCGAAAATGGATCCTTATCCTGAGCCTCACTTTTGGAACCAGAACAGCCTGTCTAGTTAAAGTCTCTTTTTGCATTACAACCATTGGGAAGCATTTTAAAAGGAGTTAGAGTTACATTTAAAAGCTGAAAAAGGGAGGGAAGAGGATGGAGGGTTTATTAAAAAAAAAACAGGTCAGGACTATATTACTTGGTATATTTTTTGGTTCATGATAATCTATTATTAAGAGGCCCCTTTCTGCCCTTCTTCCTCATCGTTCAAAGCCGTCTTCGTCGATCTGAACTATTTCAGATGCACAAACATTACTCTCACACTTGATTTACATTTGTTTAAAATACTACTGCCAAACATTTCCGCAAATCCCCACCGAACAAAAGTCAGCAAAACACCAAAACTCTACAAGAGGGAGGCAATCTTCAATAAGAAGCACAGAAAGAGCCGTATTTTCTAATGTGATTTAGCAATAAATTATACATATGGACATATGGTATATGTTTAGAAAAGTACAAAAAGAAAAGTATTTTTGATAGATTGATTAATGACTAGAGTTTTACTTGTGCTCCCAAATGCATTCTTCACATACCAAAACTATTTTATTTATCTGATTCAAAAATTTGAAATTCTCTGCGCACACATCGCAGTTCCGCACACAAAAGCTAATTTCAAATATCCAGCATAATCTGTCTCAATAGTTACTCGTCCTGAAAAAACAATCAAAACTATGTTGGGAAATATAGTCCAGCCTTTCGTTTTGACTATCCAAAAATAAACTGACTTTGCCCTTGGGCTGGGGAGGTATACATTTTTTTAGTTGACCTCACCTAATCAAATATTACTCCCATATGATCTTTGATCGCTGTTTTTTAAAGATGTGATTAGCAAATTAGATAAACAAACAACCCTTTTGACTTTTTGAGTTCTGGAGAACATGAAACTGAATATTCATAAATTCGAAAAATGTACATGGATGCATTGGACATATGACACGTTTTCCTTTTCAGTTTGCCACCTAAAAACACATTTCACAAGGTAAATCCCACGTGGGGGAGTCTTAGGGAGCAGCACGATTTTTCCTTGACCTTGCTCGAGTAATACGGCCTACAGGTTCCTCCACCACAACACTTTCTGTGGCAGGGTTTTTTGTGCTTGTTTTATCATCTGATGACGATGAGGAAGAAGAAGAAGAATGCACAGTAACAACCTGCATCTGCTGTGCTTCACTGGAGATTGTTGAAGCCTTGCTGAGGGTTTCAGTAATGATTTTTGTTGGTGTAGTTTTTTGAGCATTCAAGGCAGAGGGAGTGGGTTTCTTAACTTTTTTTGCTACACCGCCATCTTCATTCTCGCTGGAAGATTCACTGGGAGGAGAAGTTGGCTGCTGCTCTTCAGTTTGAGCTTCTTTTGCAGTTTTTTTTAATTCCTGTTTCGCTGGTGCAGCGGTCCGGGCAACTTTACTGCTGCCTTGCCTCTGTGGCTGAAACTCAACACAATTACCTTACTAATTCAGTCACAAATCATGTATGTAAGGAAATCAAAATATAAATTATCAACAAAGAGCGTATTTGGCTAAATTTGATGAAATGACTGGAATTTCTAAAATTGCATTGATAATAGTTTTTCTGGGTAAAGAAGAAATTAATATCTAAAAACGAGGGTTAAAATAAGGTGGATGTGTCATTGACTTCCATTTTAGCCAAAAAACAAGCATGTTTGACCACTATTTTTTCATCATCGACCAATTCAACAAACACAACAAAGTAAACTAGCGTCCAGCAGAAAACTTGGCTGGCATAAGCAGGAAAAGTGTTCTACCAATCAGGCACAAAAAGTCAACTTGATGTCCAACACGACAAACTGTGCTGCCTACCACAAAGATGTGTTTGATACAGTTTAGTACAACATATGTTTCAACTTTTCGAAGAATGGTTCAAAGTCAATAAGGAACTTGAGTCATGGCAGTGCAGAGCATCAGAGAAAATACTCAGGTTCACATAAAATGCCTCTTTGGAAAAAGAAAACAAAGGCAATGAAGTATATAATATCTTGTTCGTTTTGCAGATGAATACAACGAGCCTGTTTGCCAGCATGGCTAGAAAGCAAGGTAGCTGAAAAGCTTCAAAACATTGAAAGCTGAACATTATGTAACTAGAAGCAGGAAGTTGAAAGCTCTAATTAGCGTGCGCTGTGCTTGGTACATTCAGATATTGAATAGCAAATTTATGTGTAAAGACATAAAAAACCGTTTCTTACACTACGTATTGAGCACATTTACCCATGGATAAAGGGTGTTGTTTTGTAAAATAAAATGGTTACTAACTTCTACAAATAAAAAGAAGTTTATTTCTAAGACCCTACAAGAGATATCTTTTCATATGAGATCTTAATTTTGCCTATTCTATTTAGTATTTACCAAACAGTACTAATAGTTTATTTAGAGCTTATAAGCTCCAAAATAATCTGCACCAAGCAAACACAAAAACACACAAAATAGAATACACAGAGATAATCCAAATATTGCCCTCATACATACCGGAGCAGAGGGTGATGTTGAAGTTGACTGTAATGCAATGTATTGTAATATTTCAAAAACTCTTTTCTGGATGTAACCAGCAGCCTTTTGCCAGTACGACAATGCTGTATCTCCAGCCTTAGTCTTCAGTTCTTCCAAATTACGATCAATCTCATGTTGGTGCTCTTTAACCAATGGTTTGAAGAACGATTCATAGACATAGGTAGTTCCCTATAATGGTTACAAAGAAGAGAGGTAAATCCTTTTTTAATATACAAAGCAAAACTAGTCTAACAGCAGGGAATAATAAATCAAGTAGAGAGGGCCACCAAACCTTTGTTTTTGGAAACCACAAGTATATGTAGAATGCCAACTTAGCTTCACTATACATCGGAACCCTAAAAATGATCCATACCAAGTATCATATGTGAAGAATGTTACAAAACAAGAAATATAATTAAATAAATCTTGAGTTTAAGAAAAAGTTTGTCGCATCTTTACCATGATATAAAAGAATCTGCAATCCTCTCACAAACAGTCATCGTGGCAACTATGATCCTGAAATGGAGTTACCAATAATATTCACATGGGCTGTGGTTTAGTGTACATTTAGATCTTGGATGAATCCAGGGGAAGGAAAAAAACAGTAAGGAAAGTTGTTCTCTTAAGTTCGGTTTTACAATGGAAATGCAATGATAAATGAAATATCATTTTTTTCCATATATTTTTTATATCTTAATTTTTATATGATAAAAATAAATAAATAAATAAATAAATAAATAAATAAGTTCAAAGATATTTCTAAAATCACTTTATTTTGTCAAATTATCTTTCCTTCCCATTTTCCTCAATTTCTTCTTCCCCTTGTGTTTTCTGGTATCCAAATGGACATTTGGATGACTGAACAAGAAGATTCAAGTATACCAATACTGGCACCAAAAGCTAAGTAGCTGGATATCATGTTTGTCCTCAAGAGTTTTAAAGCACTCGTAAGCTGGATATGCATAACCGAAGACCATCCTGCATGGAGAGAAGTGAATAGCGTTAAAGCTTACAATGCTGTAAGATTAAACTTACTTGTTACAGCTTATGAAAAATAACAATGCATACACAAGGCCTCTGGTGAGAAAAGAGCCGATCATGATGAATTCCTGAAAAGAAAAAAAATGGAAATACAAAACAAATTATCAGAGCAGTTTCACTGAGGATCTCTTGTACCACTATCAGACTAGGAGTTTCACAGACCATAGGAAGACTAGTATAGCTAATAAGAATGTGCATTGGATGTTATCACAACAAAAACATACAAGCATTAGTTCCAAAAGATTTTGGGGTCGGCTAGTATGAATCGGTACATGATATCGAAGCCAAAAAAGTTAAGAAAGATAAAAGGCTAAGGTAAGATAAAAAAGATAAGATAAAGATAAATACAAGATAAAGATAAAAATGACAAGATAATTTTTTTATATAAAATAAAAAGGATAAAGAACATAAGAAAGATAGAGAAGATAAAGAGCATAGGATGTTGCTGCGGTAAAAAATGGAATTAAAATGGAATCATCCACTGTCAATCCTCTGCCCACATAGTTTTTTGAGTATGACTATCAAAAGTCTCTCTCCCTCTCTCTACAAGACAACATAGTAAACCCCATGCTTACCAGTTGGTGGAATTATTTATTGTCTAAATTGATGAGTCCAGATGGCCCATTTAAATGTCATAGTCAAAGAAACTGAGACGCAAAAGAAGCAACAAAGATAAAAGGCATGTATTGTCAACTGCCAGATATTGACTTCCCACAATCCCACTAGTTGAATCAGAGATAAATATCCATCATTCTATGATATATAAAGAGAAAATTAAGTCTTCTCTAACTCTAAAGCTATCAGCTCCACAAAGAAAGTTATGTAACAGAATTAGCACTTAGACATCCTCGAAAGCACCTCATTATTACACTCCAACGACAGAATATAGACAATAAGACAATAATAGCATCACAAATGCATTACCGAAATATACTACTCTCATCCGATGGTCTAAAACGCTGTATAAAAAAGCTTAATGTGTGTTACTGAAGACAGAAGAGTTATACAGGATTTTAATGAAAATAACTAGGGCGAGAAAATCATCCGAGTAACCACCGAAATATCAGACACGTAAAACGGATATATACCTTACGTTCTGAAGGAACCAAGAGAAACAGACTTAACAATTAATTCTACATATATAACTAGCAAACGAGAAGGACTGCAAAATGATATTACAGTTGCAGAAAATGGCAAATGGACAGTGTTTTAGAGCAGAAGCTAACCGGATATTATAGATTCCTTTGCATAAGATCGCAACGATCGGAAATGGTACCGCCGTTCAGCGTCGGCGTACCGTTTCGAGGTAGCCGGCGAAGAGGTTGAGTAGAGAATGTGGAAAGAACCGAGTTCTAACTTCTGTCGTTTAGAAATGGAGGATTTAAGATTGGGTTTTAAAATACTTGTTTTGGATTCGGTGTACAAGAGTCTACGGAGATAGCATGTTCATCTTTCTAAACTGAAAACTAAACTTTGGAGTAAAAAATGGTTTTTAAAGTTTGAGTAATCACTTTATTCAAACAAAAAAGTTAATGTAAAAAATCACTACATATAAAAAAGGGACCAAGAAAGATGCACTAATAAAATCTAATCACTAATCATTCATAAGATTACTTTCATAATTACAAAATCACAAAATAAAAAAAGGGAACAACCTAAAACAATTTATGTTTTTTTTGTAAATGTATTTTTTTATGTAAAAGAATTAGAATTTTAAAGAATAACACACGACTCCAAAATTCGCATGTTAAGTTTTAGTGAACAAATAACATGTGAATATTTAACCAGAGATCATTTAAATTAAGTTGATGATTGTAATGTAATTGTACGTCATTCCATAAAATTCCCCCAAAATTAAGGATATTTTTAGGTGGATAGATTTCAATCTCTGGTCAAATTAAACTTGATTAAGCCATATTAGATGGAATTAGATTTAGATAGTAGTTTAGATAGTAGTCATTAAAATACACATAAAACTAACAATAATTAGATTAGACATAAACAAATTAGAAATGATCATATCAGATTAAATTAAATTAGAAAATTAGAGTACATTTAAAAGGATCTATATATACTTTGAGTTAATGTGCTTTTAGAATTCATTCCCAACGTGGCCTACTGACCTTAGCCACTTGGCTTTTGGCCAAATTTGATGTCTTGAGTGCAAAGATCACTCTTGAAAAAGAATGAATGATCTCACAACTTGGAATAATAATAGACGGATCCTCCTCCGTGGCGGAGCGAGGATTGATATATTACAGGAGCCGAGGCTACAAGAATTTATATAACAGGGTCAAAACTTAAATTTTCACTATATTTTTTACTACCTATAAATATACACACACATCACAATTTTTTTCTTGCAGGGGCTAAGGCCACCACCAGCCTGCCCTGTCTCCTCCCCTGATCCTCCTTCTCTTTAATTTATTTGAAACAATATTTTAAGCACATATCAAATAAAATCCACACATATGAAGAACATTTGAGTCCTTTGTAACGTATTAATTGCATCAAAAGTTGTAGGTCTTTTAGTGCAATTATTTGTAGTTAAGTGTATCTTAATAATTCCATGATGAGCTAGGTAAATTTCATAGTATGATTTAAACGGTAAAATTGTACAATTCTACAATCATAAAATTATTTGAATTACATACAAATCTTTCAGTCCATACCAAAAGATTATGATAGAATAAAACAATATAATCGTATCAAGTTGTAAAAAAGCCCGTCATGTGCTTTTCAGCTATAATAATAATTGAGAAGATCAATATAAATAGCGTTTTTATGAAGCGATGTGTAGTTATTTTTTGCATGTGAGCTTTTTATTTCAAGTGAGTTACCATTTTACCAACTTATTTGTGAGTGATTCGTACTATAAAATTATGCAAAACATGCTTATAATAATTGCATCCCGTAGTTCTAATAATGATTTTATTTAGTATTATTAATTTGTAGTTTTGTTTCAATATTTTCCTTGGGTACGGTAATTGTTAATGTAGTACGTGTTGGCCTGGTAGATTTTAAGATTTATTGACTTGATTTTTTGAATGGTGTATCTATGTGATTCAAAGTCTGATTTTAACCATTCCGCCATGTATACAGAATTTATGATTCTTCTAAGACAGGTCACATACTCACAATAGATGTTGTGACATGAGAGATACAATTATTAGTTTGGTTAAATATGGTTTTAGTAATTAATTAAAATTATTTTCTACTTCAAGTGATAATATACGCAGCACATTATATAACAATGAATTGATTTTAAATCAGGTATATTCCTTACCGTTCTGATCATTTGTGTATGAAAATTTGTATTTATACACGAGTTTGATGTTTTCAATGTATCAAATTCTTTCTCAAGTCTAGACAAGTATACTAGGAGAAGAAAAGTATAATGTGCCATGAAGGCAATTTAGACTACAACAAGAATACTCCATTTAACGCAACCACAATCAATTCAAGCAAATACTCCTATTGGTTTCTACAATACTAAAATCAAAAGTAAGCCATATTTTTAGCGTGATATGTATGTTTTGAAAAGCCCCCCACACATATCGGGGTGTAAATTACTTCAGGCCCCCAACCCCCTGGAGTACTAAAAAAAAGAGCCAAGCCATTCGTGGGCTGCTCGTGGATAGCTCGGAAAAAACTCGACTCGTGTTCGATCATATCAAGCACAATTCAAATTCCTATTTATTAACGAGACGGTTCGCGAGTCTTGGTGTGTGTGCATATACACATATTACATACTCCATGTATAATTATATACATACATACATACATACATACATACATACATACATACATACATACATATATAATATTTGGAATATTTATTTTAATTTAGGGAGAATTAATATACCCCAGAATTTATTATTATTATTATCATTATTATTATTATTATTATTATTATTATTATTACTATTATTATTATTATTACTATTATTATTATTATTACTATTATTATTATTATTATTATTATTATTATTATTATTATTATTATTATTATTATTATTATTATTATTATTATTATTATTATTATTATTATTATTATTATTATTATTATTATTATTATTATTATTATTATTATTATTATTATTATTATTATTATTATTATTATTATTATTATTATTATTATTATTATTATTATTATTATTATTATTATTATTATTATTATTATTATTATTATTATTATTATTATTATTATTATTATTATTATTATTATTATTATTATTATTATTATTATTATTATTATTATTATTATTATTATTATTATTATTATTATTATTATTATTATTATTATTATTATTATTATTATTATTATTATTATTATTATTATTATTATTATTATTATTATTATTATTATTATTATTATTATTATTATTATTATTATTATTATTATTATTATTATTATTATTATTACTATTATTACTATTATTATTATTATTATTATTATTATTATTATTATTATTATTATTATTATTATTATTATTATTATTATTATTATTATTATTATTATTATTATTATTATTATTATTATTATTATTATTATTATTATTATTATTATTATTATTATTATTATTATTATTATTATTATTATTATTATTATTATTATTATTATTATTATTATTATTATTATTATTATTATTATTATTATTATTATTATTATTATTATTATTATTATTATTATTATTATTATTATTATTATTATTATTATTATTATTATTATTATTATTATTATTATTATTATTATTATTATTATTATTATTATTATTATTATTATTATTATTATTATTATTATTATTATTATTATTATTATTATTATTATTATTATTATTATTATTATTATTATTATTATTATTATTATTATTATTATTATTATTATTATTATTATTATTATTATTATTATTATTATTATTATTATTATTATTATTATTATTATTATTATTATTATTATTATTATTATTATTATTATTATTATTATTATTATTATTATTATTATTATTATTATTATTATTATTATTATTATTATTATTATTATTATTATTATTATTATTATTATTATTATTATTATTATTATTATTATTATTATTATTATTATTATTATTATTATTATTATTATTATTATTATTATTATTATTATTATTATTATTATTATTATTATTATTATTATTATTATTATTATTATTATTATTATTATTATTATTATTATTATTATTATTATTATTATTATTATTATTATTATTATTATTATTACTATTATTACTATTATTACTATTATTACTATTATTATTACTATTATTACTATTATTACTATTATTATTACTATTATTACTATTATTATCATTATTATCATTATTATCATTATTATCATTATTATCATTATTATCATTATTATCATTATTATCATTATTATCATTATTATCATTATTATCATTATTATCATTATTATCATTATTATCATTATTATCATTATTATCATTATTATTATTATTATTATTATTATTATTATTATTATTATTATTATTATTATTATTATTATTATTATTATTACTATTACTATAACTATAACCACACAATAACAACCTCCAAATCTTAATCCCGAGAGATTTCAGAGTCAACTAACATGAATCGATCCATGATATCAGATCCAAAAAAATAAGAAAAATAAAAAGATAAGGTAATACAGAGTATAAAAAAAGATAAAAATATTTATAAGATAAAAGAACATAATAAAAAATAAAATGTAATATTAATAATTTGGGAAATAGATATTTTATTTTTAGATAAGTAAGATTGTGTGCCAATAACGTTCTTTTTGAGACAAGCAAGGCAACTAGTGTATGTGGCAATAGGCAATGACAATATGACATTTATGTATATTGATGGACGTACCTCAATAGGTAAATAAGGATGTCATAATAGGTAAGTCTTAGATTCAAATTCGGATAAGTGCGATAGTCATGAGTGATTATTATGTGAAAAAGTGAAGAACAAGTTATATTATCTGCAAATACTTGGTTCAATATTCTCTCACTATTTGCCAGCTTGAGATTAAATATCAATTTATATTTTTAATAACTGTTTGATCAAGAACAGTTAGAGATGAGTTAGAGATGAAGGTGTATCCCTTTTTTCTATAAACCCAACATGTACGCAAAATAAGAAGTAACTTTAGATAATTAGTTATCTCATAATCACTTACATGAGTTAGATCGGGATCGTTTTAATGTTGAGGGGTAATCAAGCCGGATTTAGGAACGGATAAAAAAAAAGAGGTTGGCTAGAAATATTTTCTGGTGAAAAATGAATAAGACCCCACAAAATCCCAAGTCATCTCCTCCATTGTTAACACTTGTTCTTATTTCTCCAATTCTCCCACTTCACTTCTACATCCAAGGCTTTAGGCAACAGAGCTCTCATCACCAAACCAACAAGAACAGATTCCTTCACAGAGGGAAAACTTTTTAAAATTAACAAATAGTAGTCGCAGCAAAATGATATCTACTTCTATTACTACTACTTCTAAGCTCCAGTCTCCATTTTTATGTGATCCTCTCAAGCTCTGTTCATTTCCTTTCCAGAAACTCTTCAAAACCCAGCGCCCAGCAGTTTCTTTTCCATGTATCAGAGCTGATCTTGACCAAAACACGGTTTTTATCTTCTCTTCTTTGATTCCCCACTTTATTAAGATTTTTGTTATTATCATATAAGTGAATTAAAGTTTTGTTCTTTAGATAGTAGCAATTACAGCTGGGGTTGCTAGCATTGCGGTTGGGATCGGAATTCCAGTGTTCTATGAAATCCAAATTAATAAGTCTGTAAGTTTTTCTCAGTATTTGATATAATTCAGCATTGAATTGATTAATTAGATATTTGGGCTAAATTTCAGGAGATTGAAACCAATCTATTAGCTAGTTCAACCTTTACCTATTGTGACATTAAGTGTATTTTTTACCGATTCACATTGATAATTCGCGAAAGAGTAGCTCATAAGGTTGTACTTGACCTCGACAATTGCTCATATTTTACTCACCTTATTGTGGTTTTAAGGTTGAGCCTCATATTCCTTGTATGTTATTGGTCTTCCTCTTCACCACCTAATTGTGATTTTAAGTTTGAAGCTTGTAACTTTAGCTACATTACGGGTATCCGCTAAGTTATATTCACCCAAAATGTATGTCCTATTTTCGACCTTATTATGGTTTAAGGTTGAAGATCATAGATGTAGTAGTATTATTCGATAAGCTGTCCAAGGCCTTATATTTGAGTTTGTACATTTATATTTGACCAGAAGGTCCTACACGAAGGTGGATCATTACAGCAGATTAATCTTGAAATACATATGCTCTTTTAGGGCCTTAATTGGATCTTTGTTGGTGATGGACTTCGATTCCATATTGAGATATATGGTTTTAGCTTATTTTTTTTTACATTTGAGGATGCAATCTTAAATCTTAATATATTTCACCAACATGTAAGGCGTGGACTTCCCACCTTGTAGTGATTTTAAGGTTTCGAACTCTTATGTAATGTAGGGATTCTTGAGCTTACTTCAAATGTAATATAAATTAGGGTGGAGCTTGAGACTTGGTTGATTTTTAAATGTTTGTTTGGCTGTATTGTAGGCCAAACGAGAGAACACACAGCCATGCTTTCCCTGCAATGGTTCTGGAGCTCGTAAGTCCCCAAAGGCCACCACTCCCTATTCCACTCTTTACTCATTTGTTTCCATTTTTTGGGCTTTGATGCTTTATTTGTTATTGCTAGAACAGAGATGCACTGCTATTATTTTGAGGTTGAATATAAACTTTTACAAAGAATGTGATTGTAGGGTTGGGTAATGGTTAACTGGCCATTTCATCATACAGAAGAAGTGCACTAACTTAAAGACTTAATAAGTTGGAAACAGTTTAAATTTGATAAAATAATTCCAGACAACATCCTGAAAATGTACTCCCTTATATTCTCATGTGATGTGATTTTGATCTTATGTTTCTGTTCCAAATGATGTTTCCTTCTAATTGTAGACACGGGTAATGAAATCGGGAAATTTGTGTATGCTTCCCATGTTTAGATTGAAGTTGGACTTTGCACAATTTAGAGTTTTCACCCAAAGTCGTAAAAGTGTGGGGTGAAGTAAAATCTTGCTAATTATGGGAGCAAAATCTAAGGAAATAACCAATTTTGGGATATTGGGGCTCAAGTTAAAAAAATGATGCACCCCGCCCCCATGCCCCCCGGAACTGGACGAACAATTTGGTAGTAGGGTTGAATTGAGAAAAAAAAATCCGGTTGATACAGGAGTGCGAAGTCCAAATTCCAAGTAAATATGGAGTGTAAGCACAAATTTTTCCTAAAGAAGTTTAGGAGATTTGTGAACTCTAATGGTATTGAATCAGGAAATTAATTTTTTTTTTGAATGAAGGAAATTAATTAGTAATCAAGTTTTTTTGTTTTCAAAAAAATAAGCATCAAGTATGATCACTTAACTTTGCATTGAGTTTGGATTTAGTCACTAAATTTTGCATTGAGTTTCGATTTGGTCACTTAATTGCAAATTTAAAAGAAGACTGGTCATAAATGATATGTAGGAAGTGATTTGCTACTAAAATAAAGTTAGACGAGCAAAATGAACAAGGCTCAACAAAATCGAGTGTATGTGCAATGTAAAGTGACAATCTATATAAGTAATCCCGTTTCTTAAACTGAACATGTGCAAATCATTGATGTGTGAAAGGGTTATTTAGCTGTTCAAAAGTTGTCATCTTTATTACTCTAAAGTGTTTTTTTATTGTGAGTGTAGAAAGATGCAGATTTTGTGTGGGCACGGGGACGGTTACAGTTGAGCTTGGAGGGGGTGAGAAGGATGTCTCGCGTTGCATTAACTGTGATGGCGTTGGTTCTATGACATGCACAACGTGTCAAGGCAGTGGTATCCAACCCCGATATCTTGATCGCAGGTACTGGGCCCAAAAGTTCATTTGGTATTTAAAAGGTTGTGTAGCTTGAAAGTTATTAGAACAGATGAACTTAAAATGCTTTCATAAAAGGTTGACTAAATTGTTGGTTATTTAAAAAAACTGTTAAATCATATACACCAGCCAAATATGAAGTTAACATATAAGCTTTGGGCTACTAATGTCCATAGTGTTAATCTTTAAGAATGAAACCTATGTTTTAATATGATACAAGAGTTGGTTAAACTCAAATGAGATTGAAAAAAGTCTCAAAGAGCACGCATGAATCGGATTTCAACATTGGTCTTTCCCAACGAACCACCTTTTTACGAGCATGTTAAACAATCCACACCGGCCATATATAAGGATACATACAAAAGTATACAAGTAAGATTTTGGGTGCTTCTCTTTTAAGGTTGATCTTCAGACTTCAAATCTTAACCAAAACAGTTTCATAGGGCACCTCTTCCAAATACCTTTTTCTCTGAAACCGGTTGCGCAAACTTCAAATCAAACATTCCTTTCCCAATTCAATAAGACTTAGAAAGAGTAGTTGAAGCCATAAGTGGTACAGAACACAGAAACAAAGCAAACCAGAGTGGGGGGGGGACCCAGAGTGAAAAGAAATGTCTTTGTTTATTTATTTGGAGATATGCCATTTTTAAATGTTTAAATCTCGAATTTGTTTAAATGTTCTATTTATGTTTGTTGAGATATATTAATCAGGGTGTTATTGGGTTGTGCAGAGAGTTCAAAGATGATGATTAAGGTGGATTGCACAGCCCGTGGTTCCAGGAAAATCAATAGAATATGTGAAGTTGACAGGAAAATTGTTGTCCGTTTTATTTTATTTATTTATGGTTTGAAACTTTATGTGAAAAATGATGAGGTAGATAACAATTTTCAACAAAATTGGTCGTATTGCTTATCCCCCACACCTCATTATCGCCGAATTTCAGTTTGTTTGCTTTTGCCTAGGTAAAAAAACATATAAACTGAAAAAAAAAACAAAAACGTCGACAGCAGGGATCGAACCTGCGCGGGCGAAGCCCAACAGATTTCAAGTCTGTCTCCTTAACCACTCGGACATATCGACTCTTGTGTACCGCTTAGATCGAGTTTAAAATATCTTAATGTTTGAATGGTAAATGGCAATGGCCTGAATGGAGGAAGGACTGGAAGGTAATTCAGGATTCACCTACAGAACAATTTCATTTACTTTTACCAAAGCATTTATATTGTCAAATTAACGATGGTCTATATAGTACGAAGCATTACCAAAACCCCTGTTTTGCACGGGAAGTTCAGTAATTTTATGATATATACTACGTATAAATTTTCAATGATTTTTTTTTTAATTTTTTTATTTTTTATTTTATTTTATTTTACCTAAATGAATGGTTAAAAAAGCCACAAGTTCAAATAAATTGCTACTACCTCCTTCCCGATTCAAGCTTCCTGTTAAAAAATAATACTCCATCCGTCCCAATATAAAAGGCACACTTTCCTTTTCGGTCCGTCCAATATAAAAGGCACATTTCCCTTTTTGGCAAACAAAACAGTGCAAAACAGTGCCAAACAGTGTCCAAACAGTGTCAAACAGTGTCTAAACAGTGTCAAACAGTGTCTAAACAGTGTCAAACAGTGTTCACCCTTAAAAACTCCCCAAACGCAAATGTGTCTTTTATATTGGGACGGAGGGAGTATGATTTTTAGACAATAATTAAATAAAATAATGAGGTCAATAATGATAACTACTCACTCTTAATATTTTATTTTATATGTCAATTTTTTATGAAAATTGAATTATTTATTGCAGACTTTGTTACGATTTTAATGTAGTTTCTGAATATGTTTTTATTTCCTAAAACAAATCTGAATTTTGGCAAAGATCATTTAACTTTATCACTGATCAAACATCGTAACCCGCAATTGAAAGACCTTTTAGGGATGGAGGTAGTGCGATGGTATTGCGTGTATGTTTTTAATATTTGGTAATTCGTTTGTCATTTAAGTGTGCTAAGTGTTTCCTAAAATGTCCAAAAGAGACAAGTGAAAAATTTAAACTATGACAGAAGAAGTAAATATTTTAAAAATACTACTTATTTAGCAATGCGTGACTTCCTCATATCCATGTTTGCACTAATTTTACTGAGCTATTTGAGTTAACAACTCGTGGACGGAGGGAAACAATAAAAGAAAAATGCTTAATAGGAGTATTATATTTTCTTTTTATGAATCATGTATGAGTAATTATATACGTAGCATATCCTTAGAAGTTGTCAATTATGACATTACTATGATCATAATAATGTGTAGTAATGTCAAAATTGTGGTGATGAGCTAGATGTCATGATAATAATACTTTACTCTTCATTAGAGCAAAAAATGATTGGACTAATTTTGCACCACATTTTTGTGAATTTGAAATGGAGATTGAAGGTCTTAATTTTCGATGCACAGTTCAATATCAACTAACGCATGATATCCAAATTTAACTTTTCGTTTATATATATCTAAAGGGATGGTAAATAAAAAGGTGGTAAGGACCTTATAAATTATAATAGTCCCTCTATCTTGTAAGATACGGAGTAAATTTGAATTTGACATGAATTTTGAGAAAATAAAAGATATTTTGTTCTTTACAATGACATCATCCAAAAAGTAACATAGATGAGCAAAACATAAGTAGGAGAAAAATATACAAAGACAAGGAAAAATTAAAAAGTTAATGGATTCAATTTAATAAAAGGTAAGTATTTTCTTGATAACCAAATAAAATAAATGGAAGAAAGTATATTTTACAAAGCGAGCCAGATGAAGTAATAATAACAATTATAGGTAAGGATGGTTAGTTTATAAAAAAACGTTCCTCAAGTTATTAATGAAATTGGTATTATTAAAGATGTTTGTTTTGTTGAATTTTAGTGCTCCTAGGAGCATTACATAGTAGTAGAAATTACAAATCACAAAATATAATACGAACGAGAAACTGTCATTACTCCTTTTTGGTTCTATTGGAGAATTAAACATTACTAGAATAATTAATCCATGCCTATTCGATTTCTTTCATACTCCGTACGGATCAGTATATTAGTGCAAAATAAAACAAGGAAAAGGCTCCACTCAGAAAACAAAATATAATCGTCGACAGCAGGGATCGAACCTGCGCGGGCGTAGCCCAACAGATTTCAAGTCTGTCTCCTTAACCACTCGGACATATCGACGAGCTGCTCAGTTTGCATTCTAGATGTATTTAACTACAAACTACATTCAAATTGTCATATCCTTAAAAAGGTCAAAAGGACAACCATCCACTTTTCACGTTTGTTAATACACATCTTCGATCATAAATATATTTTATTTTCTAATAGTAAGAAAAACAGATTTGAAATTTATGATGAGACAAATTGAAAAATTACTTTTACAAAAATTTATTAATAACTAAAACAGAGTCAAGGTACAACATGTGAATAATGTAAAATTCAAGATTTTGTACATATCAAGTAGGAATCACAATAAGGAGGAAGTCATAAGAAATATTAGTGTCCAATATTACAATTATATTCTGAAAATGATGCACGAACAAACTGCTACTAAATGGAGAGGTATACTCGATGATGGACATGGAGAACACTGGCAGAAAAACGGGATTGGGACGAGGTCTAGATGACCGGACTGCCGGGAGGAATGCCAGGTTGTTGTCCGTTTGGACATTTTTAATTTTTGCAAGTTTATTTTGAAAAAATTCCACTTTCCGTCCCATGACTATTATGCCACTTCCACATTAATCCCCCGACTTTCAATTTAACCAAATGTAGTCCATGACGTTTTCCCATTCACCACCCGTCGTCCTTCCGACCACAATTCCGGCTAATGTTAATAGGAAACCAAGTAATGAACATTTATTGGGGGCATTTTAGTAAATTTAAGTTAAAAAACAGCTACCTAATAAACTACAACGTACATTAACTTAACTCAATGTTGAGTTAATACAACCATCTCCCTCTACCTAAAAACCGAACTCTCTTCTCCCTCTCAACGAGCTTTCATCAGCTTGAATAATCCCCAAAATCATTCGAAGAATGAGGATCCGTCCGGACCGTCGACGCGAAGGAGAAGGAACAAGTGCTGAACGGCGTTGGCCAATAAATGTCGGTGATAAAGGTAAGAGCATTGTTCTAAAAATTGCTCTAGGCGCCTGACTAGTCCACGCCTAGGCGTTGGGCGGTGGTCGGGCACCCCAATTTCGGTCTAGGCGCTCCGCCTAATTGAATCGGCGCCTAGGTGAATTCGTCGGCCGTCTAGGGCGCCTAGTTGCCCGCCCAGAGCGCTTTATGGGCCGCCTAGGCGTCTAGATTCATCGAACAATTTTTTTTGCTTTTTTATTTTAGAATCCTAAGAAATGTGTACCTTTAACTTTGACAATGCATGTGAAGAAAGCTACTAGTGAGTAAGTGAGTAGATATAATATATTATTAAATGTGATAACTCTATCATTCATGCATGTTAATGTGTATGTGTGTGTATATTTTTTATACACACACAAACACAATATTACTAATCATATCTATGCAAAAATATTGATAAAAACTACAATTTTGATGTCTCTGATTAGTCCCCGCCTAGCGCCTTTTAGAACATTGGGTAAGAGGCTGAACGTTTTTAAAAGAGTGGAAGAAAGTAATGAATATAAGGATGAAGTGAGGTGTATATATTTGGTGTTTGCAGTGTTTTCACATGTTAGGGGTTTTATGTTGAGGTAGGTTCCCTTTCCCTTTTTCCCTATATGCGTTCACATGGAAGAGTAGGCATGTGTTTTTTTTGGGTGAGATTCCCTTGTCCGGTTGTCTTTAACCATTTAAGAAATGGGACCGGTTCACTTTTATCTTTACGCAAGGTTATACCCATACATGTTTTTTTTTGTACTAGTAATTATGAAATATATTTATGGTGTTGTTGTAACCTATTAAAGACATTATTGACCTAACATTTAAAAGTCATATATATAACAGGTTCAACCAACTGTGGAAACACTTTTACTTTGAGGTTGTTTTATGGAGGAAAAGTCTATCACAACGATAAACCTTCATACTTGGGAGGTCAGTCCATACTTTTCATGATGTAGAGGTTGATGAGTTCGGTTTGATTGTGTTGAATGAGAAATTACAAGAACTTTGTTGCACCAAGAAATTAATGACAGTGTACTCCTATTCCAATGAGCACGAGTCCCTAAATCAACTAAACAGTGAGGCTGAGGTTTGGGGGTTTGTGAATGATGGAAATGTTGGTAAGGTGGTGGTGCTATGGGTAGAATTAGAACCCAGTGGTGACACTGAAGATGATGATGACCTTGGAGATAGTGACTTTGCTACAATGAGAAGGAGTTAGAAGAATTTTCTGGGGATGAACATGACTTTGATTTGGAAGATTTCATTTCTAAGGAGGATGCTGAGTTATCTACTCATGGAGGGTTAAGCAGCTGTAGTGAAGGAGAACATAATTTTAATGAAGCTTGAATGGTAGACCCGGATCCTAACTTGTCTGACGATGGCTCCATACATGAATCTAATTCTGACTCTGAGAAGTGGACTAAATTCTGTGCCAAGACTGATATGAAAGACCCAACCTTTAAGTTGGGTTTGACATTTGCCACCAAACATGAATTCAAAGAAGTTGTGGAAAATCATGCATTTAAGAATGGTAAAAAGGCGAGGTTTGTCAAAAATGATAAGGAATAGGTTGTTGTGGAGTGCAAACATATAGCCCATGGAAGATGAATCTTAGAAAGGTAATGAACTCTCATTCTTGGAGGATTTTACAGTACCATGCCACACATGAAGGTTGCTCTTGGGTCTATCACAACAAAATGGTGATCTCAAGCAAGGTAGCAAATAGGTGGTTCAAGGAGATTGAAAGTCACTCAAATTGGATAATAAAAGAGTTTAGATAGAAAGTATGTACTGAAGAACGCTTCCATTTAAGTCTCAGGCAAGCTTATAGAGCAATAAGTAAGGCAAAGAGAAAACTGAAAGGTGAAGAAAACGATTACTTTAAGAAGATATGGTCATATGTGGATGAAATAAGAAGGACCAATCCTGGGAGCACATGTGTTGTGAAATTGAGTGAAAATGTTGAAATGGGTGGACAACAAAGATTTTTGAGGATGTATATGTGTTGGGAAGCCTCTAGGGAACGATTTCAACATTGTAGACCAGTGTTTAGGGTCGATGGGACTCATCTGAAGACCATAATAGTGAAAGTAGAGAATCTTGGGCTTGGTTCTTGAATCTTGTGAAGAGGGATGATGAGATCACAGAAGGCAATGAACATGTGTTCACTTTAATGTCAGACAAGCAGAAAGAGCTAATTCAAGCTGTCAATAAACTACTACCAGGTGTTGAGCATAGATTTTGTGTGAGGCATCTACATGGCAACATGAAGGGTGCAGGTTTTACTGCCAAAGCCCTAAAAGATTCTCCGTGGGAATGTAGCAAGGCATGCACTCTTAACTCATATAAAGCTGCCTTATCCAAATTCAAAGAAATTGATGGGCAAGCGTTTGAGTGGCTGACAGACAAGCACCTCAGAGAATGGTCAAGAGCACACTTCTCTACTCATTCAAAAACTGACATGTTGACCAACAACATTTGTGAGTGCTTCAACAGTGTAATGCTAGAGGCCAGACAACAAGCCCTTTTGGTGTGTCTAGAAACTATAAGAAAACTGCTTCTAACACAGTTGTTCACTAGCAGGACTAAGGCAAGAAAGTGGAGTTCAAATATTTTCCCTAGAATAGCAAAAAAAAAAAATCAGGACTGAGAAGTTAGCTGTAGGTTTGATTGGATACTAGTGTGGTGACAATGACTTTGAGATAATGGGAATGCATGGTAACCAACATGGTGTAGATTTGGAGAAGAGAACATGCACCTGCAGGTAGTGGGACTTAACTGGGATCCCCTACAAGCATGCAATATGTGCTATTTGGCTCAAATTTGGAAAAGGACTCGTTGATGCATATGTCCACCCATGTTATTCCAAAGACATGTATTTGAAGATATATGGAGGGTCCATAAAGCCAATGGCAGGCCCAGATGAGTGACCTCTAACTGACAGACTTTGTGACACCGCTCCCGAACGTCCTTGAAAATTTGATTTAAAATTCAAAGTTTATGTATTGGATTTCTGATTCCCAAACATTTGTAAAACGATTAATGTTTTACGTAATTAATGATCGATTAGTGTACTGTTCGAACTCGTATATTAGAGTCGGGCATGCAAATACTATTTGGGTCTTATTAATAAATAAAAGAGCCCAACATTATCCAAATAGTGATACATAATCTTTCAAGACAATCCGAGTAAGGTCGGACGGCCCAAACGTTATTTTGAGCCCAACCTGCTAAAATAGCAAGTATTCGAGAATGGCGTTCTAGACCCACTCGGGAGTGACCCACACGGCTAGTAGCCCAATAATATGTATGACAAATGTCAAATAAGTGATAGAACGATTAAAGAAGAATACAAATGCCTATAGTCCCATCTTTAACATTATTGAGCTAAATAATGGGAGTAGGATTTTTCTTCTATAATATCCATTAAGTAAATTATTGTGATAAACCTACACATATTGGAAATCAATAATGTGATGAAGGAAGTTGACTTGTTCTAAATGAATTAGGATGAGTACAAAAAGACATCTTTGACAAAAGATAAAACAATAGGACCCATCTTCCCATTTTTGGAAGTATTGGTAGATAATTTGGATCCCAAAATGATTGGGATCACTTGGGAACCATTCCACATGGACTTAGTACCTGCAAAACAAGTGAAAAGAGGTGAGAAGACCATATGGGGCGGACTCTTGGCTCACATGCACAAAAACTCCAAGAGAAAACAAAAGGGGGAGGTCCACCCCATATTTGATTGCAAACCAAATATCTCCCATGTTCTTTTGTGAGCCACATACTCCTTTAGCATGTTTAGGGGCTCCTAATACACTCCCCATACACCCCATTCGAACCCCCAAAGAGATAAGAGAGCAAGGGAATCCACACAACCCAAGAGAGAAGGAAGGAGGAGAGCAGTCCGCAGGTTCGTTCTTCAGTGCGTAGCTCTGATTGTTTGAGCCATAACTTGAGATTTACTCATCCAAATAAGGCGTGCGAGATACCAACAGAAAGCTCTCAAGACGAGGAATCCGTGAAGGTCTGGTTTGCATCAATCGGAGTAGTGGAAGGCTTCCAAATCGACCGAGCAAAACACGACCTCGCAGAATACGTTTTTGTATTCAAAGTAAGTTTGAATCCAAAACCTTCCTCTCTATTGTCTAAATCATATAAATGATTGAAGAACTATTATACACTGATTGAAGTGTATAAAATGTTATTATTATGTGACTTTAATTGTTGGAAAGGTTAGATACTAACCTAGACAAAACCTTGAAAGGTTAGGGAACGAATTCGTCGGGAAACACCCGTTCTAGGGACTGTTTTTGCATCAACGATTAAGGGTTGAACTAGCACTTTGAGGAGGCTGTTTAACACTCATATTTGAGCAAGGAATCAGTTCCAAATCCACCTTGACCAAAGCTTTGACCATTGGACCAAGAAGGGAAAGTTTAAAGCTCAATTGAGGTGAGGATTGACATCTAATTGCTTACAACTTGTAGGTTAAGCATGAGATTACCTAAATGCCTAAATCATAATTTTTATGGATTATGATGATTATATAATGATGAAATATGGATATATTTGCCAAAGAATGAAATTGGAAATGATTTGAGAATGTATGAATAAAATGAGATTAAATGAGTTATAAATGAACTATTTTGTGAAATAGACATTTTACTCATGTATGAATTATGTGGGTACATAAATGAATGTTTATGTATTGAGATTGAACACTTAAGTTGCTGCTACATAATTATAAATATGTAGAGGATTACAAATAATGAGCATATATGCATGATAACAATAATCTTAATAGTATTGAAATACTAGTTAGTGATTATTGGAAATTGTTGATGGAATTGATCCTAGGGATTGGATTGTATGAAATGCACTTGAATATACTTCAAGGGTGTATGATGACTTAGTATGAAACTAAGGTTAAGTGGTGGGAAGTCTTTAAGGATGACCCATGGTAGTTTATTGATATGTCAATTCTAGGCATAGGGTTGCTTAAGAATTGGACCTTCATGCATGGTGATGTGATAGAGCCGAGCTCTAGGATGCATGTTAAGGTGGTAGACTTGTAGTCTATGTATTGAATAGCTAGAGCCGAGCTCTAGGGCTTGCGTGGTGATGTGATAGAGCCGAGCTCTAGAACGCAAGGTAAGGAAATGGACCCGAGTGACATGAATTGTATGGTGATGTGGTAGAGCCGAGCTCTAGAATACAATGTCATGTGTTCGGGTTGGACTCTATTGAGTTGTCGTGGTTTGTAGCCACGGGGAATGGGAATGGTGATTTCTAAATGAACATGGGCCCACGGGCCGACTACTTGACTTTTACATAAAGTAAGTATATTTTCAAATGGGTAACTTAGGGTTACAAATCATAATATACTATCACCCTATTTGAGGGTCTTGTGTTTGAAATACTTGTTGTATATCTATTAGATGCCTGCCACACCAGTACTTTATAGCCGTATAGAGTACTGACCCCTTCGGGGGCGTCCCACCACCATTTCAGGTTGAGGCTAGAGCTTGCATCCTGTGCTCGTTGATCGAGTGATTCCTCAGAGAGAAGACTTGGTTCGTGCTTCCTCCATTCTATTTGAAACATTAATAAATTTGCTCATGGATATTTTACTATAGAGCCTGCGTGCTCATGAATAGCCCGGTGTGGCCTTTTGTTTTAAACAATGTTTTCCGCTGCGTTATGAATTACTTATTATGTTTGTTTATGGATGTTATATGTGTGAATGATATTCATGACGCCTTGTATAATATGAATGTGTTGGACTGCGGTTGACTATTCGTATTGTACGGCGGGTTGTTGACGTGTCCGGGTAGGTCCGGGGCGTGACAGACTTCCCCTCTCTTCCACCAGTATATGCTGCTAGAGCTGGAAGGCCAAGAAAACTTGGAAGGAAATCTGCAGTTGATCTGAGCACAGATGGAGTCCGAGTAGCAAGAAGACATATTAAATTGCATTGTTCAAAGTGCAAGAAGGAAGGCCACAATGCAAGGAGATGTCAGGATGATCCTAACAACAAGGAGAAGCTGATATAGTGTGCATCTATATTTTGTAAGGTTATTTTATTATTGTAATATATGGTGTATATTGTAAGCATTAACTACATTGTGTTTACATGTAATCAGATGCAACCCAGAAAAAGAAATAGGGAACCTGAGAGCAATCAGAGTGTTGGAGTGCATGATAGAGGTGAGGAGCCTAAGGATGAGGGGGTTGCTACACAGGGAGACCTTGTTCATGACTCCAACCTTGTTGATGAATCCAACCTTCTTGATGAATCCAACATTGTTGACATTGCCATGATGTGTGTTGAGGAAGCAACTTTTGGAAGTGAGGTTCCTATTTTAGAGGGGATAGAGTTGGAGACACATTGTTTTTACCCTAGATTATAGTCGTTTCTAGGACAGTAAAGTTAATTAATGTATAACTATGGTGGCTTGTGAAATATAGGTTATTGGCACTTATAAAACTCTGAGATGTGAGATATGGTGGCACTTATAATTCAACAATAAGTATATTGGCTTGTAAAACTGAGTTGCAAAAACTGCACGTATGGAGCTTTGCCTTATAAGTAAAAACAGAGCAGTCAATGGAGAATTATTATCTAGGGTAATGTATCACCCTTTCCATCTTTTATCTTGGGCTACACAAGTGGATAACTATAGTGGTTTCTAGGACAATAAAGCTAATTAATGGATAACTATAGTGGCTTGTGAGATATAAGTTATTGGTACCTATAAAACTAAAAATGATTCATCAATAAGTATATTGTCTTGTAAAACTAATTCATCCATGACCATAATGACGTGTAAACTCCTTTTCCGGCGTATCAAAAAAATAGTGGCTTGTAAACAAATTAAATGCACACATGAAAAGGGTAATACTCCATGATAACAAATACCTTCCTGTCTAGGCTTCCAACACATATATTATTAAAATACTAGCTTTAAGCCGTTTTTTTAATTTGTTCCAGGCTTCACGAGTTCTTTGGACTACACAGAAGAAAGTTGTCCTTGCGAAAGGTACACATATTTAATGGCAGTGCATTCTTTTGAATAATATCTTCAATGTATAATGTTATGCACTACTTGTGTGCTATGGATGACCCCTTTTGAATTAAAGTAAACATAGACAAAACCACATGTTCAACATTATGGGAGTAAGTTAAAATAAACCTACGTGTGGTATTAGTAGCTGCAATTGTGAGGTCCCATATTTCTTCAATTAGAGATCTATTCCTACCTCCAGATCAATGCGGCCTAAAGAGGGTAGAGAAGTCTTCAGTCTTTCATGTGCTTATGTAATATTTTTAAATAGTTAAGCAAGAAATAAAAATATGATAAACTTAGGTGAATCTATGTTTGAGGAAAAGCAATTTGTTTCAGGTCTAGGAAAAGAACTCATTACTTCCAAAATATCAATCAAGTGGAGAAGTCTAGCTAAGTCACTATATATAAGTTTGTACTTTTGGTTTTCAATTAGAAGATGAGATAGAATTGCCCAATACAGAGAGGCAATAATTTTCTTTGAATTCCTAACCTGGCTCATGTTTTTGTACTTGCACGACTTCTGTATGATAGCCTTTTCTTGATAGTGTTCCATCTATTGTATTGGGGGTGGTGAAATATATCCCAATGCAATTTGGTTGATGATTATTTAGAGTCAACCCAATGTGTTTCCGCGAATTCTTCCCCATAGCAATATTTTCCTAGACCCCAACTTCATTCCATTCCAAGAAAATAAATTTCACTGTAGATGAATCCTGATTAGAACAACTAAGTGTATATGCTCTTGTTAGTTACTGTGAAATTCAAATATAATCAATTAAACATTGCAGCATCTAATAATGATCTTGAATCAGCTTACACTAAATAAGTTAACATGCCATGCAAAAGTAGAGAAGAAAAGTTAAGCTTATGTATAGCCCATTGGTTCACACAATAGTAGAAACAATTCAATTAAAGCTCGGTAAAGCTATAACAAGTTTATATAGCCCATTCATTTCATTTGGGATTAAAGGGAAATAAAATAAAATACCTCCCAACTGTCAGGAAGTGTGGTTAGCAACATGGTTAATATTATAGGTGTTGAATCTTTAAAACTGAAAAGTTTCTATTTTTGAACCAAAGTATTACATCTCTTTTTATCCAACATTTTCTGTCTTGTTCCTCTTTTCTTTGTTCACTCAATAGTATGAATAGCTAATGCTTGGTAAAGCTAAAACAGGTTTATAGCAGGAGGGAATGAACAAATGTTCGTCTTTGCTCTACTCTTCTTTGCACTCCAAAAGTTTTATTCCAAATCCCAGTATAACAGGAGGGAATGATAAAATGGAGTTGACAAACGGTCCCTTAATTATCCATTCCCACACACCTCAAGTTGTTCGTTCTGATATTTGGTTCACATTATCCATATCACTTATCTGCTATTAAGCAAAAAAATCCCTAATTAACAGTTTCCTCTTTGATGTTAAATATTCTCACATTTAGTAGGAAAACCCAACATTAAATGTATTCACAATGTATTTATATGAATAATATTTTCAATGTATTATGTTATGTGATCCTTGCAAATAGAAATTGGTTTAGCTTTCCAAACTGAATAAGCTCATTTTAGATACTTATTCAAGCTCACACTTTAAGAATTTCTATTACATAAAGACTAAGAGATATAGAAGCATTAGAAACTTTAGAAGTTCAAAACAAATTTGAGTTATGTTTCATGCTTTCCAAGGAAAACCCAACATTAAAGCTACTTTCCTTGGCATATTTTCCTTTTCCTGCTATGTTATGTGTTCAAAGCATATCACAAAGTCTTAAAAATAAAGACTGTATATGATTTACCTTTCAGAAATTGCAATTTTTCCAACGCTTGGGTCTCTAATTAGAACATTATTATTCTTAGTTCTTCTGGAAAGGATCTGAATGCATCTACGTATCTCATCATCTCGGCCTATAACACGATCAAGCTTTCCTGCCCTTGCCATAACAGTTAAATCTTTTCCATATTTTTCCAAAGCTTCATTCTTCCCCTCAGGATCTGTAGAAAATTTATGAACGACATTACTTATAGTTATTAATCAGTTCTCTTAAATCAACATGCCTTATAAAAAAACATTGGACCACATAATGAGTCAAATTACGTAGTTCCAATTATCAAGTCTCTCATTTCTTATGCATAAAATAAAACTAGAAATAATTACATAAGTATGATCAAAATAAAGATGATTTACAAAAATATGACTAGTGACTAGAGTATTGATGAAATCATAGTAATTCATGTTCAAGTTTTGATTTTAAGTTACCACAACGCCACATTGTAGTAATGAATAGTCATATTTATGTAAATATGTTTTATTTTAGTAATATTCTTGTAAAAAACCCATAAAACTATAGTTTTGACCTTGATCAATAATAGTTTTCCGTCCCCTAATGGCCTCTATGGCAACTCTTAGAGTCTTATTAGTAAGTTAAAAATCTTTAACCAATTGCTTCTCGATAAGTTTGCCTTGTACAAAAGCAAGCACCAAGTGTTCCACTAGCACAAACGAATCACCATATTCTTTTTTTAATTCTCTGCCCCGTTGTATCAAGGCTTCCATGAAGTATAATAGATGGACCAAGTGTTCTACTGGCACAAACGAATCTTGTATTTTTTAAAAGTGTGAAAGACTTTTGATAAAACCAAAACTCGAGGAATGAAAAACCAGAGACCCCGATCAATCACATTCTGGGAAAATGTCCCGACAAAAAAACCAACAATTAGCTAATAATCCTATTATACATAGGAAAGTTATGAAAAAGCACTTTTCTAATGAATTAGAAAGTTTTATGTTTTCATTGGCGAAAAAATTCTCAAATAAATTTTAATTATAATTGAAACACGGTTTATTTAGGGTTAAATATGAGTTCGTGTTTGTTCTAAGGTTGAAACTATCATCCAAATTATTAAAAAAGAAAAAAAGATTTTAACTCCATGTTATATAAGGACAAAATGTAAAAGAACAAATGATTACTCTTAATTTCTTAAAAGTTCAGGTTGCTTATACAGACAGTAATTTAACTGCTATATTATGTTCTAGAAACTATTAAGCAAGTTATATATGCTAAAAAATGTTTAATCTAGCTATTGCACTCTATTGTTACTTTTGAGCTTTTTCGTTCCTGTTCTTTCGTGGCCTAAAAACAATATCTTAGAATAGTTTATTTAATTAGTTTTCCTAAAAAAATATCTCCCAAACCCTTTTAACAAACTATTAAGTAACGCATTTAAAAAAAATTACCCATTAAGTATCATTTCTTACACTTTTTTGAATATAACAACACTAGATTGTTCATTAAGTCTAGTTTACTCATATCAAATTTGAACTAACAATTCAATCGGGAAGGCATTCAAATGAATTCATGAAGATAACTGCGCTTTTAACGGTACAGTTATCTTCAAGAATTCATTTGAATGCCTTCCCAATTAAAGTTTTAGTTCAAATTTGATATGAGTAAACTAGACTTAATGAATAAGATTCTCAAAAATTTCATCAAAAAATTCTACCGGGAACCACCCCAAATGGCGTCGGCCGGACAGAACATCCTAAATATGGCCTTATTTGACATTTTTTTTCAAGTTCGAGACCCTATCTGACCCTTATCTCAATAAACACTTATATAGCAATGGATCCCGTGAAAAAAACAGAAAATGGTAGATGAAGTGAACAAAAAGCGTAGAGCCGCAACGAATGCGTCAAATTCTGTGTCAAATGATCACAATTACACCCGTATGGGGTTTTCTTTTTCATTATACACCCGTACTGAAATCCTTTTTTCCCCACACATTAATCCACTGCGTTTCGTATTGCACCATTTGAAATTGGTCATCATTTTTCATGTCCAAATGCAACAACAACAACTGTTCCGGCTCATACGACATTAAGTCATATGCCAATCTCTCTGCAAAATGACAATACCGTGCAAACAATGTTTCCGACGTATACAAGCCCCATACCTTCACAAGCTTTTGTACTAAAGGCTTGTGTGCCATCCCAACATTGCGACGCAATGCACATTCAGTATGAACCACCCGGACTTTGTTGCTCTGCGGGGCAAGTGGTTTTGGTGTCAAATAAAATGCCATCAATTTTGAAGCGCTACTTTTGTGAAAAATATACCGTTGCTCGACAATTTCAGGCATGCGTCAGGACATACAACAACACGTTCTCATTTACTTCCTTAGGAATACACAATTATGACAAGAACTTGGCCAGGAGGAATAAAGGTATATACACATTCAAAGTGCAAGGGCACATGTATCATTTGATTAATGACTTGCTACCTGCCGGGGAGCGACCTAATAAAAACCTCCAACTGTATTTCTTTGAAGAAAAATAAACAGCCTAAACTTACAATTAGTATAGTATAGTTCATTTACATGCCCGCTATACGGCCGGTCTGGTACTTTGAAACCATACTCTCCTTTGGGCAGTCCCCATCAATTGTTATTATTCTATAATAATTTGTACACTCTTCCAAAAAACCCTCGTTCGAAATATTTAAACCCTTTAAGGGTTCTCTCTAATGGTTTTTTGC